AATATATTAGATGAAGGAGAAAAGGGAATAATTTTATGTATAATATTATTATACACGTTTGTTTACATGAATAAAAAAAGTTATCGTGTTTCAGATCACATCTAAATTTGGCCAATTTTTTTTGTAACACACTGTATATACACTATTACTATCTATCTATTTACCATAAAAATACAACGTGGCAATGCCATATTTTAAAAATATTTATTAACATTGATGTTCCTTTATATTGCAAATGTAATTCTAGTCAAGGTGGCCGAAATAGCATAATTAATTTATTTCGGCTTAATATCATTGAAACTTTAAGATCCGGATACAATTAGGATAATGGGACAACCATATTTAATCCTAGGATATTATCCGTTCAAGAAAAGCTCTATGCAGCAACGAGCAGGGCTCCTTCTGGGTCTTTTTTCGTTTGATTTTAGTCGCTGGAAAATAGCAGTAGAAAAGGCCGAATTCTTTGCGCCAGAATGGCCTAAAAGAAATATCTATTATACATACACATTTTGATTTCATGTAATAATGTATAAATTTTAAAGATAGCGCAAATTAGATATAATTCATGAAATAGTTAATTATTTAAAAATGACAGCAACGACGACAATAATGCCAACAATAAACTAAGGAATCTTGGCCAATGGTTGAAACAAAGAATCTAACAGAAGAAAAAACATGATGTTTATTTCAACTAATAATCGTAACAATATAAATATTCCCCTCAAAAATGTGATCCGCAATCAATTCTTATTACGTTCAGCTGAATTTCACCTTCAAACTACAGAAAATGATTTTCTCAATATTCATCACAATGTACTCGGTAACATTGCCAATGATAAAAGCATAAGGATCCTATATATATAGCGAGATCTTTAATGATTTCATTGAACAATTTCCAATTTTTATGACGAAGATGGTGTTATTTTGAATTTTCCATCTATTTAATCTTTTATATAGACTCTGTTCACTTTTTAAACATCCAAATATTTTAGTCAAAATACAATTACAAAAAAATGCAACCACCAAGATATTAGTTGACTGAGTATCAATGGATTGAATTAAAAGTATAAACTACCGGTTGTGTAAATTAAGCTCAGCAGCAAAACTAACGATCCATTTGGAAAAGGAACAGGAATGATTGCCTCGAAAGACATGAACCTAGTAAATAACAAACGCCAAGAAAATAAAAGTAAATAGTAATAATAGTAGCCATTCCTCGTTGTTCATCATCAAATCATCTAATTTGAAATTCTAGTTTTTTCTCCTATTGATGATAATTTTCAAACCTCAAGAATACTGTAAAAATGCGTGTCCCGGGATGGATAAAAAGTTATTATCATTGTATGTACAGTATATCGCAAGAAGAATAACTATCATGGAAAGTTTTACAATGTTATAATTTGAATTAGAAGTTTTACTTAGTATTTTTTTTCGAAATAAAACTATTACTAATATTTATTCTTTTAATTATTACACTTTGTAAAATCAAACGCATTCGAATTATCTTTAGCTCCTGAGTTCAAAGCATACATAGGCGGGCCAATGTTGGTATGTAAAGCAACTTTACATACATACGAGTTGTGTTAACTTGATGTTTTTTCGAACTATGCGTAAAATAGTAATAACAAATAATATTAATAATATGCTTGAGCTGTATTTAGTGTCCGAGTTTGAAACACATAGAGGATGGTCAATGTTGGTACGTAGGACGACTTTTATATAGTACATGGGACAGGTTTAGGTGCAGATGTTTGTAAGTTTTTATTTTAAAGTTTTAAAGTGATAAAAAAAAAAAATAGTAGACAAAGAAAAAAGAAGAATGCTAAAATTTTTTATTGTTGAATCAATCATTAAAGTTTGATGATGAATTTTTGCTAATGTTAAAGTCGTTCTTTAAAATAATGCAATTTTTATACTAATTTATTAGTGTGAAAAGATCAATTAATAATCTCCTATTACCATTGTACTATTACTAATATATATATATATTAATATGAGAAAGTTTTAAAAGAGTACAGAAAATTGATCGTTACACGTCATTCTATTCATCAAAACACCAAGTTTTAAATTTTAAATTTTTACATAATGTCACATCATAGATTATTATCACCAGAAAGAGTGGGATTTGTAACTAAATTATTTAGTGAAATGGTTAATAATTCTATGGTTAATTCTGATAAAGAAAGTATAAAAGATTATTTTTTTTCATTAGTTGAAAAAATCAAGGAGCTTTCTGAAAATGAAAAAGAATTTTGTAAAGAAAAGTTTATTTATGATGAAGAATTAGACAATGCAACATATAAACAGGGAAAACCAAAAGAATGTAATGAATGTAAATTGGCAAGATACTCTGATAGATTCTGTGAAGGTTGTATTAGCTTACAACTACAGAGTCTTTTCACTACCTGGACATCTGGAAATAACATAATTGATGATTTTATTCAACAATGTCAAATGAAATCATCTCTGCCAAACTATATTTTAGAATGGATACCTTTTGAGCAATTTGAAGAAATAACAAAATTGACTGAAGGTGGATTTAGTTCAATTTATACTGCTACATGGATAAGAGGAAGAATAACAGATTATGATGAAAATAAAATGGTATTTAGTTATTTTGGAGAACAACTAGTGGTATTAAAAAATTTAAACAATTCAAGTAATCCAGGAAAAGGCTTTTTTGATGAGGTTGGTAGTTGTCATTTAAAACAATACTGTATTATATAATACTAATTGATTTTATTTATTTGAAGGCAGTGAATTATTGTAAAATTAAATCATCATCAATTGTTAAGTGCTTTGGTATAACTAAATTCCCAGATAATGGAAATTATGCAATTGTTTTTAAATTATCATCCAGAAGGAAACTTAAAGGATTATTTACAAAAAAATCATTTAAATTTAACATTAAAAGACAGAATTATAATCTTCAAATATTTATGTTATTCATTAGATGATATACATGAAAAAAATTTAATCCATTGTGATTTACATAGTGGTAATATATTAATAAGTGGAGGTAATTGTTATATTACAGATTTGGGATTATGTGGGCCAGTTAATGAAAAGTCATCAAATAAAATCTATGGAATTATATCATATGTTGCACCCGAGCTACTTAGAGGCAAAATTAATACAAAGAACACCAAAAGATCTGATATCTATAGTATTGGGATGTTAATGTGGGAAATATTTGCAGGGCATCCACCATTTGATGATAGAGCTCACAATCATTGTTTGATTTTTG